AAATAACAGGAAGTAGGTGCTCCTGATTGGAGGCTGGGAACAATGGCCGCCAGCGAGCCGGGGAGCAACTTTGGAGCTGCAGGCTTTGCTGGGTTCTCAGGGCCTGGTCCTGCTGCCCTGCTGTCCTCCGGCCTGTGACCAAGGCCCTTAGGACCACCTGAAGCACCCAGGCTGGCCCCTCCCATTGCACTCCCTCTTAGAGCTGGCTCGATGCCCCCTCAGCTCACCCCTGTTCATCCAGGCCCCCACTCAGGCAACCCTCAGGTTTTCTCCACCCGCCCACTCAGGTCTCCCCAGAAGGAAGAGAAACCCAGGAGGCTGTCCCCCACCAGGCAGGGCAGCAGAGCAGGGACACAGACCCTGCCCCACTGCTTCTGGGCCTAACCCACCCCCACCCCCAGCGCTGCTGCTCCTTATAACCTGGGTCATTTACGTGAGGGTCTTAAGCTCTCCGAATCCATTTCCTCATTTGTAAAACAGGCTAATCATACCTACCTCATGGGTTTGTGGTGCAGATTGAATGAACTGAGGTTTTTGTTTGTTTGTTTTTAAAGGTAAATAAATGAATGAATGAGTTTAAAGTGTAACGCACCGGTGCTTTAAACTCCGGACACAAGCATTGGCTGCTGCTGCTGCTGCTGCTCAGACTCTCAGTGGGCCCGGCAAAGGAAAGCTCAATGCGGGGCAGGGCAGGACTGCCCTGGACGAGCCCACAGAACTGTCCCAGGGCGTTGTGCAGCTTTGGGCCCTAGAGTGGGAAGCTGTGTGTTAGTGTCTGCATTCCCACTAGGTCTGTTTCCTGTGTTTGGGGAAGAGAGCTGGAGCGAGCGTGCCTCTCGGATCTCCCCATTGTGCAGGCTCGGTCTGCATTAACTGGGTGACTGCCTTTCTTTGTGCCTTTGCCCCTCTGCCTGCCTCCCGTCTTCTCTTGTCTGGTCCAGCGTTGCCACCTGGGGAGCTGCCCAGAGAGCCCGAGGTGCTAACCTCTGTCCTGTTGCCTTCCCTGGCCCAGAAGTGCTGTCTGTACAGCTCCCAGCCCTTCTTTGGGCCCTCCCTGCTCTGCCCTCTGGAGGTGGGCTGCTGTCTCCCATCCCTCTGCCCCGTGCCTCACACTTCCTGCCTCCTGCTGGCCAGCCTGGGCAGGAGCCTGCCTTCCCCACATTCCTGCACTCTGAGCTCACACTCTGCCTGCCCCACCTACCCGACCTGCCTCTTTGCCATTGTCAGGGGGGAACGTTCTTGGGGGGGATCCCCCAGATCATTTCCTTCTTCAGGGAACAGGCAGGTGCCTCAGGGGAGGGTGATGTGACCTACCGGAAAGAGCATGACGTGAGGGCTTTGTCACACAGACAAACCTGGATCCTAACCCTAGTTCTGACACTGACATGAGCAATCTACCAGTCTGAGTAACAGTTCTCTCACCTAATGCTTGTCTAAGAATTTAAAAAAAAAAAAAAAAGAATTAAATGAGATAAAGGAAAGTGCCTGGTACATAGTACTCACTGCCATTAGTCGATGCCAACTCATAGCAACCGTATAGGGCAGGGTGGCACTGCCCTCGTGAGTTTCCGAGCCGGAAACTCTGTACAGGAGCAGAAAGCCCTGTTGGTCTCCTACAGAACTGCTAGTAGTTTTGAACTGCTGACCTTGTAGTTAGCAGCGTAATTCATAACCTCTATGCCTGCCACCAGGGCTCCTTGCTGAGCTTAGGAACTGGCAGGGGCACAGAGCTCTGATATGCTTGAGACACTTAGTGAGGCCTGCCTTTGGAGCAAGGAGTCCCTAGGTGGCACAAACAGGTTGGTAGTGTGAACCCACCGGAAGTGCCTTGGAAGAAAGGCCTGGCAGTCTGCTTCCCAGCAGGTCACCTCCATGAGCACTGTGTGGAGCTTTGGTTATAGCTCCACTGCCCATCTGCCTGGCCGTCCATCCATCCAGGCATTCTTTAAACACAGAGCTCCTACGCCGTGCCAAGTGGGCCCTGAATAAGGCTCTGTGGCTACAAAAACATCAAAACGGACTAAGACCCAGGCCACACTCCCCACGAGCTTTCTCACTAACGTGGGGGAGGGGAGCAAGCTCCAAAGCTGGGCTGAACCAGGCGCCAGTGTTGTGAGGGGCCGGTTTGGCCCACTAGGAGGTGTTTGCCGTTGCAGGGACTGACAGTGAGACAGGTGACAGTCCCTTTGAGGGCCTTGGCCCTGACCCTTCTGTAGACCCCAGGCACATTCTCTCCAATGCAGGCTCCCTAGGGGCTCTGAGGAGGACAGAGCCCCACAGTGCAGCCAGTTCCTGTCCCTCTGCTCTATTACCATACTCTGTGCTGAGGAATAAGTACAAACGATCTGTCTCTTATCCGGTTCTTCACAAATACTTCCGGTAGATACCTAGATAACAAAATAAAACTGAGCAGTCTGACAATAAAATAAAATCCAGGGACCAAAGGATGGCATCTGGTGATTGAAAATGGGGAGAAGAAGTAGAAACGGCTTAGCTGCCACACCGTACAGATCATTAGCCGAGGAACGAAATTGGCTTAGTATGTTTTGTTCCCGATAATACTGCCCCAGTAAGGTTTCCTCCGGGCTGGCTTCATTCTGCGGGAGAATATTTGTATTGAGGTCAACAGTCCGCCAGGTCGAGAGATGAGTTCCCAACGCGTTGTTTGCCTCCCTCGTGGAGTTGCGGGAGTAAACTCTAACTTCAGAAGTGTCTCAGCCCAGGACTATTGAGGCGGAGCTCTGCCGCTGCCCTCCAAGTGTTTATCCCTCTGCAGACGAGGCCACGTGACCTACTCTTCAGGAGAGTTAGAATTGCCTTCCCCGTTGTCCCTGCCTGCTAGAGGCTACATGGCCTCAGTCAAGTTCAGCATCATACCGAGCACTTTGTCCTCGTCCCACAACACTTGGTGGCTGTCTGCACGTACTGTGGTAGCTGCTGGTAATCCCGTGGTGAGCCACGCCCGCACGGGCCAGCTCTCGCAACTCTCTCAAGAGGGGACTCTGACAATGTGGGGAGGGGGGGAACACACTGACAATTGGGGGGGAGGGGGAAACACACCGCGAGGCTTAACATGTGGCAGTGCCACAAACAAGAGGCACGTGGAGTCGTGGGTGTGCATACGAAGGGAGAGGAGCCGGGGGAGGGGGGAGGCTTCTCTGAGGAAACATAACTGAGCTAAACACAACCAGGAGGGGGGAGAGCAGGAACCAAGGCCCCGATGCCGGAAGGAGCCTGGATGGTTACCCTAATTAAAGGAAGGTCAGCAGGTCAAAGTGGATTCCTGATTACCAGGAGCAGGAGGAAGAAAGGGTAAAATGGAGCCATTGTGTAGGCAGCTCTGCGAGGCTGCTGCTAGCGGTAGGAAATCTGGTGATGGCAGCCCCACGTGAAGGATGACCCGGTGTCACCATCTGGCCGGGTGCAAAAGGCTGAAGTAGCCAGTGTGGACGAGACACAGCCATGGCCCCGACATGGGAATGGCGCAGGACCCGGTCGGGTTTTATTCAGCTTTACGCAGGACCAGCTCAACAGCAGCTAACAATATGTGTACAACCATATAACAAGACTTTTAAAAAAATCATTGTGATCCGAGTGCAGAGAGCAAGCGTGTGTGTGTGTGTGTGTGTGTGTGTGTGTGTGTGTGTGTGTGTGTTGGGGGGGAAGTGTGGGCAGAGTAGGGCAGGAGATTCCACAGGTGTCGGGGAGGCCAGACTGGGCTGACCTGATTTGTAGAGTGGGGTCAAGAATGTTATCTTGATCCCCAGAGCATTGAGAAGGCCCGGGAAGGTCCTCCGTGGCAGGGAGTGCCATGATCCGATGTGCGCTCGGAAAAGGTGACTGGCTGCTCAGTGGGAGCAGAGCGGGCATGGGCGCCGGTGGGGCAGTGGGAGGACTTTGCAGGCATCCGGGTAAGAGGTGATGCCGTCTGCCAGGTGGAGCTCCTTCCAGTGTTCACTCAGCAAGTGGCTCGGGAGCACCTGCAGAGCGGGCTCTGGCCCTGGCACACAACATCGGCAGAAACCATGTCCTCCTGGAGACAGTGGGCATGGCGATACTGCTTGTGGGGCAAAGTGGAGTTGGAAAGACAGGGGGCCCTTTGGGAAGGGGAGGGGAGTTCACTCGCAGTGTGTGGTTTAATCAGGGCATCAGGAAGGCTTCCTTGAGACCTGACAGGAGAGTTAAAGAAGGGGCCCTTTGAGGTGAGCCTGGAAGATTGGGCACAGGGTGCTGAGAATTCCCGGCACAGGGAACAAGTGCAAAGCTTGAGGCCGGTGCGTGCCTGACATACTTAAGGAGGAGCGAGGAGGCCGTGGGTCTGGAGAAGACTGAGCGGGCGGAGAGCAGGCCCAGGAAGGAGGTGGCAGCCTTACAGGCCGTTGTGAGGACTTTGGCTGGTCCTCCCTGTGCCATGGGAGCCTTGGAGGATCTGGGCATAGGAGAGCCCTGGCAGGACTGATTTTTGAACAGACTCACCCGGGCTGCTGCGCTGATAAGAGGCCAAAGGCCAATCAAGAGTGGGAGGCAGGGAGGATTTCACAAGAGATGACAGTGCGCTTGGACCAAGGTGGCAGAAATGGAGTTGGGATGTATTTTGAAGATAGAACCAAAAACCTTTGCTGAGAGATGAGATGTGGGGTGCGAAGCCAGAAGAGAACCCAGGGTGACTCCAGGTTTCTGGCCTGAGAAACTGGAAGGATGGGGTTCCCCTGCACCCAAAGGAAACTGCAGGGGGAAGGGAGATGGCTCGAGTTTGACAGGGACAAGCAGGAGGTCCGTTTGGGATGGGTTAAACTCGGACATGTTAGACACCCGGGTGTCAAGTAGGGAGGCGCCCGGATGAAACTGGAACGCGAGGGAGCGGTCTGGGCTGGAGACACACATTTGGTTGTCATCAGCGAGTCTGGATGAGATCACCAAGGGAGGGAGTGTAGACAGAGGAGCGACAGACTGGGTCCGGGGCTGAGCCCTGGGGCACACCGGCACCCAGAGGTTAGGAAATGAAGGTGGCGCCAGCAAAGAAGAGGGAGGAGTATCAACCAGCCAAGGTCGAAGGAAAAGCAAGACCGTGTGTGGTCCTGAACACCAAATGCAGGACATGTTTCAAGGTGCACCAAGAGGCCTGCAGTGCCACCTGCTGCTGTCGGGCCCACTACGGTGAGGATGGAAAAATGACTGCTAGATCGAACAGGTCCTGAGACACCACGAGGAGCAGTTTCATGCCACATCGAGAGTGAAAGCCCAAAGGAACTGGGATATTGTGGTTGGAGATAGGGGCGCGGACACAGTCTTCAGGGCAGCTGCTGCTTCCTGAGCCCCTACCAGATGCCTCAAGGGGCCTCCCTACTTGTCACAACAACTCGGGGGAAACTGAGGCTCCGGGCTTCCTCAAGGTCCCACAGCAGAGCTGGGATCCCCACTCAGGCCCACCTGCCTTTCAAACCCCAAACCCTCGTACTCTGACTGAATCTGAGATTCAGATATTGATCCTTTTAGACCCCACTCTCTGTACCTCTTCCCAGGCCCCTTTAGAAGGCTATTGGGGACCTAGCTGGGGAGTCCCTGTCTTGCCTGGTGGGTGTGATTTGCCTAGGTAGAGACAAACACCTGCCTACCTGTTCTCCTTGCCACACCTGCAGCAAACACTGGCGCTAGGAGAACCGTGATAAACCGGCCTCGCCCTCAGCCTTCAAGCTCAGTACTTCCACACCCAGGCTTTGGCCCCAGACAGTCCTGGGTTCAAATTCTGACTCTGCCAGTGCTAGGTCTATCGCCCTGGGGGAAAAAATCACTGCAAGGCGAGCCCCGATTGCCTCATCTGTATAATGGGGCTGTGCAGGATGGGGAGACAAAGGATTGACCTCAGCTCCCGGTGTGAAGGAAGCTTTTCCGCAGAGGTTGCCAGTTTTATTGCCCATTGGAGTTGGCAAAGGAGTTCGCAGCTGGCTGGGACACAGATTGGTATGGAGAGAGCTAGCCGGACTGTCACAGAGCCTCGGTGCTAGAGCCACTGGGGAGACAGGAGCTTGTGCCTAGAACCCAGGAGGCCAGGCGGGAAGGAATGTGAGGAAAATCGTGGGAGCCTTAGATAATTGCATTGCATAACATGCATGACCTCATCTGCTGCCATAAACAGAAGAGCAGGGCACACAGGGCGGGCAGGAGCCTGGACTCTGGCTGACAGATGTCTGGTTCAAATCCAGACTCCTGCAGTTAGCAGCTGAGTGACCTCAAAGTCCTTGATCTCTTCTTCACTTCACTTTCTTCATCGTAGAAGAGATGTTCGAAAAATAATTTATTATTCGTTGGGAGTTAATACATGTATCCTATTATTCCATAGTTCAGTCATGTCAAGCAGAATTGGACAGCTCTTATCACAGTCAGTTTCTAAATGTCCTTGTTCTTCCTGGACCCCTTGAACAAGAGCTTTTTATAGCACCTCCTTCATATGGTTGTCCAGTGAGGGTTAACAAAAGCTAATCCATATGAAATGCTTTGAACAAAAGGAGAAATACATAAATGCTAGCAGTTATTGTTATGACTAACACACACCACAGCCCGGGGACTCTTTGCCCCCATGCTACAGACAAGGAGCTGTGGTGCAGAGGGGGCTGACGTCAGAGCCCGAGAGTCCCTCTGCCTGCTGACGTAGGCACCCACTCCTCAGGGCGCCTCTGCCCCCAACACACACTGTCTCTCACAGTGGTGTGGTGGCAGTGCCCAGTGACCGCACAAAACGCTTCCTTAGATCCACTGTTGCATGGACCAGCCCTGCCGTGTCCTCAATGGATGGGTAGCAGTTGGTGACACCAGGTGTAACTCAAAGGCTTCCCTTTGGGAGACCTGGCGGCTTCATAGGGTGGGCTCACAGGGAAAGGGAGAGACATATTTGCTGGCAGGCCCTGCACTGACAACAGTCCCTGTTAGCTTGGGCTCTTCACCCCCATTTAGCAGACGGGTAAAATGAGGCTGACTGCCTTGTCCCCCGTTACCTGCTGGGGAGTCAGGCCCTCCCTTCCTAGCTTGGGTGGTGAGATCAGAATTGGGGACCTCATCTGACTGCCTCCAAAGCTTGTCTTTCAATCCTCCCACGGGGCGCGTGTGTATACACACCAAATTCTGTGACTTCCTTACTTGGTTCTCCGGTGCCTTTTTTCAGGGTTTCTGGAGTACTGATGTCTTAAAAGAGGAAGACTTTTGAGTGGGACTAATTACCGAGTTGCCCACCTCACTGGAGACTTTAGCAACCCTGGCATCCCACACGTGCTTGCACTGATTTCTGTCTTCTCTCGGCCCCGTGGGAGAGCACGGCTCCCTGTGTGCCAGGCCCTGGACCGGCCACTGTGGCCCCAAGGGCAAGTACAGGTGGGCGAGACAGCCGTGGAGACTAGTCACGGCCCTTTGGTGCGTTCATAAGTGCCACACCCTAGCGTGCATGCGTGGTCCACCCAGACGATGTTCTGCATCCTACTCTGGTGAGCAGAGTCATGGCTGGTGAGCAGTCACTAAGGTACAACTATGGGTCTTTCCCCACCCCGATCAAAATGGAGTGAGGGAAAAAGAAAAGAAAAAGATTCAAGGAAACAATTGGTCCAGAGGACCAATGGATCATGTGAGCCACACAGTCTGAGACCCACAGCACTAGATGGTGCCCAGTGATCACTACAGACCAGTCTGGTGCAGATCACAATATAAGGTCCTACACAGAGTGGGGAAGGCCTGGGGGAGGAGAAGAACATTTAAATCATAGCCCCTGAGGGACCCGCCCTCAGCCCAACAGTGAAGAGGTCTGAACCGTGAGCAGTATCACCGGGAAGGAGTGCACTTCTTGAGCCAGTCAGCCATAGGAGACCAAAAGGGTGGCATTTGCTCCAAAAAGAAGCTGAGTCACAATATGTATAAATTGAGAGTTGGGCGGGGAGGGGAGGTGCCACAAACTCAATGCATTTTGCCTCCCTTCCTCCCTCCCCCCTTTTCTTCCTAGGGTCTCTGCATATGTGCTTCTCTCTGTCAGAACCCTCCTCCTGGCTTTGCCAGCGCCAACTCCTCTGTAGGTCTTAGGTTGTCATTTCTCCAGAAGTCCCCCCAGTATAGGTGACTTGTAATTGTCTGGCCTTCGGGCTGTCTCCTGCTAGAGGAGACTCCGCAGAGGCAGGGGCCAAAGCTGTGTTCTCGGTGGCGTTTTACCATCAGCACCTGGAACAGGGCCTGGCACAGAGAAGGCTAAGTAAAGTGCATGTGTGGGTGAACGATTGAAGTCCTTTGGACAAAGGAGACGGGCTACGTGGTGAACTGACTGCAGTGGTTCTCACTCACCCTCTCTTCCCTTGTGTTGGTTTTCCAGGTGTGGCAACCAGGATCATCCCCCAAGAGCCAAGACCTTCCCCAGAAGGCGACCCCTTCCCGCCACCACCGCCACCACCTACGTCAGCCCTCGTACCTGACACACCCCCGGACACCCCTCCTGCCATGAAGACTCCTGTTAGCCCTAAGCCGCTCCCACTGGAACCAAATAGTCCCTCGGAGCAGGTTGGCCGTGGGCCCGTCCCCCCACAAGAGGACTCCCCTCCCTCCGAGGTGAAGAGCAGGGGACCCACTCCACCAGCTGCAGGCCTGCGGGACGCCAGGCCTCCTCGGAGGAGCAGCCAGCCGTCTCCAACGGCAGCACCCACCTCGGACAGCACCCCCCCCAAGCAAGGTGTGTACGCTGCCCTCTGCCCTGGGCCCAGCTCCTCGGCTCAGGTCTCAGCCCCGCCGGACACCACCAGAGGGATCCCTTCTATCCTGAAGGAGGTGGGGAAAGAGTTGGGGGTGGGCCCCGAGGTGACTTCCCTTGGGTGAGCCCTCAGACCCAAGTCTGTCCTTGTCTCCCCGCCAAGATGCGAAGAAGGCAGGAGAGAGACACAAGCTGGCGAAGGAGCGGCGAGAGGAGCGGGCCAAGTACCTGGGTGAGTGAGTGAGGTGCAGCGACACCTCCCCCGAGTCCTGCTAACGATAGCTCACCCTTGTGGACACCACCCGGTGTGCACTGGGCTGGGTGCAGCATCGCACTGAACCCTCGTAGCAGCCTCCCGAAGATGGAGGATGAGCAAACCAGGCCTAGAGCGCTGACACCCTTAGCCCAAACCCCACAGCTGGTCGAAGAGCCGAACTGCCCACCCCAAAGCACAGCTCACTCCCAATCCTGTGCCCTTCATCACACTCTGGGGACATCTGTCCAGCAGGTGTGGTGCCCAGCCCACTGCCTGGCACACAGACCTCAGTCAGCACTCCTCCCAAAGCCAGAGACCAGGAGGCCAATGGGGAGGAGTGGGTCTCCTCTCAGGGCCTGGGTTGCAGACGGCCTTCCATTTGAGGAGGGGAGGCAGGCTTCAAGGGGAGGAGAAGGACGCAGCCCAGGCTAGGATGCTGGAGGAAGCCCCTTGGGTAAGGTGACCAGACGTCCCGCTTTTGGCGGGACAGCCCCAAATTTTGGCGTTTTTAAAAAGTCCCGATTTTTGGAAAGAATGCACGACAAGCTAGGGAACGGTCTATTTGGTCCATATAGACCAAATTTTAAATCAAGAACCACCACCCCCTCCCCTCAGTCAATGATGTCCCGCTTTAAATCTGGTCACCCGGCCCTTGGGGGAAGACCTGCTGGGTCAGGACCCCTCCAGACTCACTCACCCCTCCCTCCCCATCTGGGCTCCCTTCAATAGCCGCCAAGAAGGCAGTGTGGCTGGAGAAGGAGGAGAAGGCCAAGGTGCTGCGGGAGCAGCAGCTTCAGGAGCGCCGCAGGCGGCTGGAGGAGCAGCGGCTGAAAGCCGAGCAGCGGCGGGCCGCCCTGGAGGAGCGGCAGCGGCAGAAGCTCGAGAAAAACAAGGTGAGCTGGTGCCGACTTCTGACTGGGTGCGTCCGGGCCTGCACGCGTCTCTCCCTGCCGCCTGTATGCTGGCTAAGTGTGCGCACATCTGTGTTCATGTCTGCACCTGTGCCCCTGTCCATGTGCAATCCCTGGGAGTCACTGAGCCTGCTTGTTCGGCAGGTACTGCCGGAACGTGTGCTTTGCCTTTGTGTGTGCGTAGCCCCAAGACAACATTAGAGCCCTAGCCTGAGTACTGATGGGGACACGGACAACGTGACATGGGCTGGCCCTGTGGCCCCAGGCTGAGGGGGGAAATACAGCCCAAAGTCAGGCCCTGATCCTTCAAGGGGGGTGGGGTGGGCACCAAGCTAAGGGGAGTCCCTCCCCATCCTCAGAGCAACAACTCAGACCCCCAGGAAATGACTCAAGAACAGTGATCAACACCCCCATCCCCAAACAAGTCAGAAGGGAGCGGATGGTCCCTTATCAGAGGATTTGGTAGCCTTGGTTACCACTGATGAGTCAGGGAACTCTTCTGGTGTGAGTGGAGGTGCATTGTCACCAGAGGGAGAAGGGCCTTTCTACCAGGGGTGATTTCCAGCCCAGACCTGTGTCCTCTCCCCACTTCCTCCAGGAGCGCTACGAAGCCGCCATCCAGCGGTCAGTGAAGAAGACGTGGGCCGAAATCCGGCAGCAGCGCTGGTCCTGGGCAGGGGCCCTGCACCACAGCTCACCAGGACACAAGACCAGTGAGTGGGCGGCAGGGCTGGTGGGTCGGTGGGCTCGGCTGAGGGCTAGGGAGCAGGGACATGGGAGCAGCTTCAGAGCCAGAGCCTGGCTTCACATGACTGTGTCTCCTGGAACGGGCTGTGCATCACTGTCCCCCAGCACTCCCGCCAGCCGTGCCTTCTCTTCGGTTTGCTACTCAAACGTCTGACTGGGTTCGGTTAGCCCTCTGTGCACCTGCCAATGCACATCAAGGAGACTTCACTGCCCTGGAGGCACTCGGTATTGAAAGAAAATGCCACCCCCTTAGGGATATATTTTGGAGGGTTGATTCTTTGGGGGGTCTCTTAGTTTCTTTATGTAGGGCTTTCATGGATTTTTTTACCTGCTTCTTTGCTGGCATGCACGTCACATTCCACTGTTTGGATCGCTTCCTGTGGTGGCAAGCTCAGCGTCCCTGGCTGTGCGTGTCTTTTGGTGTATGTGCAGTGTGCATCTGTGGCCCGGTGTACGTCGCTGAGGCCTTCTGAGTCAGACAGAGCTGGGCTAGGGTCCGGGCTCTGGCCCTTGCTATGCGCTCTTAGATGAGCCATGTAACAGTTCTCAACAAACAGCTCCCGGGTTTCGTCACATGTAAATTGGGAAGAGAACTGTACCTGCCTCTGAGGAGCACTGGTCTCACCCAACCGGTAGCGGTCAGCTGCTAACCAAAAGGTTGGGGATCTGAGCCCAGAGAAGCCCGGGTATCTTCTTCCATGAAGACTGTAGCCCAGAGGACTGACCCTCTGGTGCAGTTGACACCAGGGTGGCTGTGCGTCAAAAGCTCTTAATAACAGCTGAGGTTGTCAGGAGAGGTTTGGGAGGATCACCTGAGGTCATGTGTGTGGTCAGCCATGCCGCCAGCAAACGGGCTGGTACAAATCTAGTCATTAGGCTGCTTCGATGAGTTTGTGCTCTGACCCTGTGCACGTCTGCACACATGTGTGTATGCGAAGGTGTCTGTTGCCGGATCCGCTTGTGTCTGCATGTATTTCTCTTTGTGTGTCGGGATGAATATCGGTATTTGTGCCTCTGACTATGTGGGTTCTTCTGTTCAGGACCGTCTCTGCATTTGGCCCAGGACGTGGGTGCTGTAGCCATAGCGCCTTGGCTGGGCAGTGTCAGCAAGTGCCAATGCTGGGTGGCTGGGGGAGGAGGGACTGGCTCCCTCTGGCCAGGAAGACTGTTGTTTCTCTAGTTTGGACTCTCTCTCCCTCTGTTCCTTTTCCGTCGGCTCCCCCATCCCAGGTCATCACCTATCCCCACCCCCACCCCATCCTTACCCACTCCAAGGCCAAGACTGCCCCTCCTTCCCGTCCTAGCCTGCCCACTCCTCCCCCTCCGACCCTGCCTCGGAGCATCCTGCATGGAAGGCCTCAGTGACCCCCCTGGCTCCTGTTTGGCCCGGCCCTAACGCCGTGTGTTTTCCCCTCCAGGTGGGAGCAGGTGCTCCGTGTCGGCAGTAAACCTGCCCAAACACGTGGACTCTATAATCAACAAGCGGCTCTCAAAGTCCTCAGCCACCCTCTGGAACTCCCCCAGTAGAAGTAAGAGAAGGCCCAGCCCG